TTTTTTTCTCCCCCAAGGTTACTTGTACCTACTGTGTGTGAATGATGGCCTTTCGACGGTTTTACACTTTGCGGATTAGGTAAATACTTGCTCAGAGCTAAGGACGACGTACTACGTACTACGGTACTGCTGCTGCTGGACTGCGGACGACGACGTGCGACGACGTGGGGACTGTTTAAGGCTGAATCCGGGAATGGTGATTGGTTGTGGCCCTGGTGGGAAGCCCTGCGAGGTGAGACTTTCGACGCGTGCTCTTGGGAAGGGAGGGGAGGGGGGTGGGGACGGGAGACAAGGTTCGCACGGTATTATTTAAGATTTTTTTTTGGGTAGGGGGGGGGGGAAGTGGGGATCTTTTTATAGAGAGTTTGGGAGAGAGTTTGGAGAGAGAGTTTCGAGAAGGGTTTTTATGTGGAGCGATGTGAGATGGTGCGGCGATGTTGATTTTAGGTTGTCGTTGTCAGAGGTACTGACTGCGGTTTTGGCGGTGGGGAGGGGATAGCTGAGAGAGGGAGGGAGGGAGGGAGGGAGGGAGACAGAAAGTGTGTGTGTGTGTGTGATAACCTAATACTTTCACTCCAAGGATTCGTTCCTGCAGGAAGGAGTCGGTTGTGTAGACAGAGTATGCGCTCGAGAATTAGTTAGTGTAGGGCGGGCGGGTGATCGGCAATGTGAGTTGAATGGATTCGAGATTAGAAACGAAGATCGATATACTAGTAGTACGTACTACGAGACTACGAGATGTTCTGGCTGGAATCCTCGGTTGGGTGGTGGGTGGGGGTGGATAGTGGATAGTGGATAGTGGATAGTGGATAGTGGATAGTGGATAGTGGATAGTGGATAGTGGATATAATGGTAGTATATGGTTGATTGGTTGATGATCACGGAATGTGATCACGGATGTGAGAGAAAGAGGGGAGGAGAGAAGGGAGAGGTGGTGTGTGGTGGTGTGGTGGTGAGATGAATCGCGAGGGGAGAGGAATGGGGAGAGGGAGCCGCTATCAATCGATGCGCCGAGAGAGAGCGATCGTAGTGCCGCCACGGTAGATGCAATCGACGGGAAAAGAGGAGAGGAGAGGAGAGGTAGCCGCTATCAATTATCAATTCTTGTCTCGGGTAGAGTAAGCAGGTAGAGGAAGCGGAAGAGGAAGATAAGAGACGGCAGGACGACGGGAGCGATAGCGGTTAGCGGATGGCGGATAGCGGATGGCTGATGGCTACGTAGTAGGTAATGGCGTAGTAATGGCTAGTGAGGTGGCTGCAACGTGCGTAGTAGGTCGTAGTAGGTCGTGGTCGTAGTAGGTCGTAGTAGTACGTCCTGAGGGCAGATGGAGCTGCATGTACGTAGTATGACTGAGCTGAGCTGCGCTGGCTGCTGCACTGGCTGCTGCACTGGCTGCTGCACTGGCTGCTGCACTGGCTGCCCTGGCTGCCCTGGCCGCCCTGCGCTGCCCTGCACTGCCCTGCACTGCGTCCTGATCCCCCTCCCCTCCTCCCCTCCTCCCCCTGCTCCTGTCCTGTAGCTATGACTTGCCTCGGTCATTTTTCTGATACTCGTATCCTCCGCACGCAGGTACGACGTACGTAGTACGTAGTACGTACAGTACTACTACCATCTCCGAGAAAGTTCGACGGCGGGCGGCTAGATCGATGGGTGTGTTTCATCCAATTCTGAGCGTCCGTCGAATCTTATCCGAGCGAGCGTGGGGGATGCAGCCCGGCTGGGAACTGTATCCGGAGATGGGCGGAGAAGCGAGCCCGGGCGTGGCTCTATCGGACCATCATAGTAGTACGAGTAGTAGGTAGTACTACCTAGGTACGTAGTACTCTGGACTTACTACGGACTACGTCGTCGTACATACTACTACTACGTACTAATGCTTACAGTTACAACCTACTACGACTACGACTACGACTACGACGTACTACTAATTACAGTTACAACCTACTACTTCTAGTTACAACCTACTACAAACTACTTCTACAACTTAGTAGTACTCCCTACGGCCGACGGACTACCTACCTACATTACGGTGGACCTACGACGACCTACCTAGGAGGAGTAGCGGGGCGTGGGGTGCCGGTGGAGATGCGGGTGGGATGGCAGGAAGGAAGAACTCATAACCGTAGCAGTAGCGTAGGATCGATCGACAAGTATTGGAGTCTGATTCTGACTTTAACCGGAAAGGAGCAGCAGAGAAGGAAGCAGAGAAAACACGAGGAAAGAAGAAAATCGACTTGAAGTGCCGGTGCTAGTGGTCCTTGGGCGATGGTAAGAGCCGTGAGAAAGCTTGCGGCCGGTGATGTGATGGATGCATCCCGAGATGTGGAAAATGCGGAGACGAAGTTATGCCGAGCGAGACCCTGGATTTCTCGGTGGTCAATGGCCGATGGTCTATGCTGCCATCGACGCAGCCCTGAGGCAATATAAAGTAGATGAATGGCGCCAACCCTCCTGCTGGTCGCGCGATCATTTGTACAGTACCGGATCATTTGTTGAATGTTGACGAACCCCTCGGCAATGTTTCAGCTCTCTCCTTGACTCCATCTCGATCTCCATCTCCATCTCGATTCCACCACTTCGACCTCGTGCCCGGATGCGGAAAGCAGAACGCAACACCAGCACGCACGCCATCGGCGCACCACGACGGAACTACCGGTAACTCACCCACACGCACTACTCTCGTCGACCTACGACCCCGTCCGCACTACCGCTACGACGACGACTACGACGACGACGACTACTACGACGAATACTACGAGTATTACGACTACTCCTACTTCTACTACGACTTCTACGACTACTACGACTACTACTACTTCTACTACTACTTTTACTACCACTCCTCCTCCTCCTCCTCCTCCTCCTCCTCCTCCTCCTCCCTACTCGTCCAACACGACCCAGAGCTGGAAGCACGCCATTGTCGTGCGCACGGCACCTTCAGCGGTCGGCGGTCAGCGGTCAGCGGTCGGCTTGGACGGGGACTGGGACTCGAGTGTGTGTCTATTAATAAGAATCCGATCTTCCCTTCTGCTTCATCACTCTCGAAGCAACCGGCGCGCACAATCCACACCACGCGTACCACGACGGCCATCCATCGATCGATCCATCAAACAATCATACACGTATCCTCACCCTCATCCTCATCCTCACCCGCTGTCGGCTGGGTCGGTCTGATCGTGTGGTCGGTTGATTGATATATCCACCCCACCCCACCCCACCCCCACCCCCTTGGCTGCTTGCAGCGCAACTCCGTTATCGCTCGCTTGCTCACAACGGCCGAGGCGGGCGTGGTCTAGGCCATCACTCACTCACTCAATCAATCAATCCTTATCTTTCTAACTTATTACTTATCGGACTGGCCTCCCCTCCCGCCCATTCCATTCACCTCCATTCAACCCCGTTCAACTCCATCCACCTCCACTCGACTCTGTACAACTCCACTGCCATTCCCCGTATTCCACATCCGTCGACCACCAGCTCGTCGATCCCTCCCAATTGTCCGATCTACATCCATCCATAGATCCGTCCATCTACAGACATCTCCCAGCGATGGCACAATCTCGTCCCCCGCCGGGCCGCCCCTACGCCGCCGCTACTTCTCCGCCGCTGTCCCCTCGCACCTATACCGAGAAGAAACATTCCTCGAGGAGGAGATCCGGAAAGGACGTGGTAGTGATAGTGAGCGAGAAGAAGGCTCTGCGGCCCGCCGCTGTGACGCGCAAGACGGCTGCCGTACATCCCATCCGAGGCGGCGGCTACAACAGCAGCAGCAGGAGTCAGAAGGAGCAGCACGAAGATGAAGGTCGCGATAGTGGGGAGAGCTTCCTCCAGTTCTGGTACGTCTGTCGCTCTGTTGTCATGGGCGCAGGAACGAGGGCAATCGTCCCCGTGGGGGATGCATACCGTCCCAGATCCCTTGCCTTGCATGATTGCCCTACCTCCCTACCTACCTGCGACCCTACCCGAGCACAGCCAACTGACAAGTCATATAGCATGACCTGCGAAAAGCAATTCCTGCCCGCCGACAACCTCGTCCTCTACTGTTCCGATTCGTACGTATCCCGCTCCAGTCCATCCATCCCTCCCTCCACCCTTCCTTGCATTACGGACTGACACCCACCCCCCCCCCAGCTGCCGCGTCCACGACCAAACCTCATCCAACCAGACCTCCTACTACCCCTCCTCCTCCTCTCCCCCCCTCACCCCCTTTGCCCGTCACTTTTCCTCCTCCCACGACGACGGCCCAGACATCATCCCGCCCTTCTCCCCCACGCAGTCTCGGCCGCGCTCCTACTTCAACTCAGACCCCTACTCGGAGAGCCCCTCGCACCAATACTCGGCTTCGCCCCCACCCTCCGAATCCCAATCGACGCGCTCCACCTCCTCTACCGCCCTCGACTCCCTCCGCACCCTCGCCACGGCCCTCCCTAGATCCCCCCCCTCACACGCCCACTCGCGCGCCCACCCCTCCTCGCCGCCCAGGTCCGCCGCCTCTTCCGCCTCTTCCCTCGCCCGCTCCAGCTCTGGGGTCTGGGACTACATCCCCTTCACCGGCAGCAAGGTCACCATGCCCACCCCCTCCGCGACGCCCGGGAATTCGTACTCGCACATGAGTGCTGCCGGGACGAGTGCGAGCAGTGGGCGGAGCAGGGAGGACCTGTACGCGTATGGGAAGAGCCAGATGGCCGGTGGCGGCGGTGGTGGCGGCTATGGGAGCACGGGGGGCATGGGCATGGATCGTCCGCTGCCGCCGCGGACGGGGCCGAGTGGGTACGGGCACCGCCCGAGGAGTATCGATCTCGTGACGCCGCTCGCGGGGTATTGAGGGGTGTGTGGGTGGCTCAGCCTGCCCTGGCCTGATCTGAGATGGTTGCGCGAGGAGCCCCGAGGAGGAGCGAGATGGCGATGAAAGTGTACACGGAATCAAGCTTGGTGTTGGGGAGGGCGTTGTGCGGTGATGGATTTCTGGTGGGATTGCATCGACTAGGCAGCAAGAAGAGGATGAAAATAAGGGCCTGAAGAGCATTTAGAGTCAACTGATTGTTATCGGCTGGATAGAAGCATAGCATAAGTAACATGCGATATACATTTATGTTTATCGGCATTAGAGATAAATATATAATAGCTAAATATCAAATACGAATGCCTAGTATATTGTATATTTCTTTTTTTGTCTTCTCTTCTCCTTCTATCTTCTTTTTTCTTTGTCTTCTCTTCCTCCTTTATCGGCTGGATAGAAGCATAGCATAAGTAACATGCGATATACCTTTCATGTTTATCGGCATTAGAGATAAATATATAATAGCTAGGTAAATATCAAATACGAATGCCTAGTCTATTGCATATTTCTTTTTTCTTTGTCTTCTCTTCCTCCTTCTATCTTCTTTCTTCTTTGTCTTCCTTCTCTTTTTGTATCCTCTTTTCCTCCTTTCTCTCTCTCTTTCTCTTTTTCCTTCCGTATCCTCCTTACTTACTTACTTTCTTTCTGTCATCCAGGTGTTTACTTATTTCATTTCATAAATCATCGGTTGGTTAATTAATTAAATCACACACACACATATATATATCAATCTCGTATTGAAGAAATTCTCGTAATGTCTCGTAATTTCTCGAAATTTCTCGAAATTTCTCGAAATTTCTCTTTTTCATATCTTGTAGAGGACCGGTAGGTACCGGTTATTTGTTAATTTTGTTGGTTGAGATTTGGAATTTTGCTTGTGAGGGGGGAGGGGGAGGGGAGGGGGGGAGGAAGGTGATGAGAGGATGGTTGTAATTTTAAGGGTGATTTCACGGGTCCGGATTGTACGGGTCCGGATTGTACCAGTACAAGTACAAGGTACCTAGAACCCAGTTACAATACTGTAGATAGGTAAGTAAGTTTTCCTCAAAGGCTGTTAAAGGGAAGGGTTATCTACTACGTACGTACCTCCTAGTCCATAGTCCTCTAATCCTCTCTCACCAGCGACGGCCGGGCCATGGGACGGACCCGCTTAATAAAATAAACCCCGTAAGATAAGTACCGTACTGAGCCTCTTTTCCAAGAATCAAGAATAGTCTTACAAGTAGTTACCGAGAAAGACCGTCCTACCTACCGGTCCGTATTTATTTATTTATTTAAAGAGACCGATCGAGCGTTTTAATAGCCGTCCTATGTAGTTGGTACCTTGAAGGCAGGTAAGGGGTGATTTCAACCGTTAGCTGATGATTCGATGACGGTCTCTTTTAAATTGAAGGACGATTGATTTCAAGAGGTTGGTATCGCTGATAGATTACTTTAGGATGATACGTGGAATTGAATAGGATTTGAAAGAGGAAAAGGAACGGTTTGGATTATTTATGTCGGAGCTGGAATGGATAGAACTGTTTTGATTGATGAAATTGTTTTTTTTTGTAAGAGCTGGTTTTTTCGTTGAGAGGTTATGATTAGAATGAGATTGTTTTGATTGATTAAAATCGTCGTTTATAAAAGTCAGTTTTTTTTTACGAAAAGATCGTTTTGAGGGAAAGACCGTCTTGTAGCCGTTCTGTGGCCGTCTGAAGGCCGTCCCCGAACTTGAAATCGTCCCGAAGAACGTGAATTAGTAAGCAAATAATCTTTATTTTCTTTCAATTGCATAGCAGTCTATTTTCTATTACCACCCTCTCTTTCTTTTCCTCGTTTAGCTAATGGCACAAGGAATAACATACGCGAGTAAACTTTTATTAAATCGATCGATTCCGATTATTAAAAATTTAAAGCGTTGATAGATAAGCCGTAGCAGCGATACCGAGAAATATCTTGGCGTCGAACTTCTTAAATTATTATTAAAACAATTTTATTCAAAAGATAAATTTTATCTATAACTATATCTTCTTTAAAATGGTCATCGAACTATTTCAATTTTTTAAAGCGAGCTTATTAATAAGCTTGTTTTAAGAATATAGACGGGGACGGCCATGGGACGGCCATAAGACGGTCTTAAGCTCGGGGACGATTATAAAAGTGAATTATTTTTGATTTGTAATTAATACTGATTTTAAATGGTTTAATAATCGTCTTTTATAAGAAAAGGTCAGAGGACCGCTTAAATGACCCCCCCTGCCTGCCTTTAAAGTAAGGTCGCCGTCCTCGTCTAGGTATTATGTTTAAACCAGGCTAATTAATAAGCTCGTTTTTTTAAAAAAAAAAAAATGAAATAGTTCGATAACTGTTTCAAAAAAAAAAAAAAANAAAAAAAAAAAAAGAAAATAATAATTAGT